TGTTTTTTTTCAATATTTCTATTTAGCTTTATTTTTGCTTCAGTTTTAGCTTTAGTAATTATAGTACTTCAACTTTTATTTTATTTCAGTTTTATTTAAAATAATGAAAACAATTTGCATCATTTGTTTTAATTATCAATAATGATACCAGCCTTCCGTTATATTGTTGTTGTTTTTTTTCATGACAGATGTTAGAAGAAGAACAATATATGAATATCATCGGGTAGAGCTTTTAAAATCCAAGATCGCAAACATCACTGCTGTTGAGATGCTTCCTCTACCAAGTGAGTCCAAACTGCTGACAGAACTAGATTCAAATAGCTCTGCATAGATCTCTAATTAATATCTTTCTTTAGTACTGAGACCAATTTAACTTTGTGTTTAAAAGGCCCTGTAACTGTTGTTTTCCATGACTGGACTTGAGTGTACTTAATCACTTTTTGTAAGAAGTACCCACGTCTTTCACACATCTCTATTAAAATGTTGCTCCTCCTGCTGTCAGCCTGCCTTCAGTTCTCCAGCTGTGAGACGTGTGTTACGGCTCAGATCGGCTTCAACTGTAGCTGGTGCAGTCGCCTGCAGAGGTACACACTTGAATAGTCAAATAGATTAAGTGCAGTGTGCTTCAACTTTAAGGCTAGGGACTCAACTGCTGCAAATAACGTTTCTCCTGCAGATGTTCCAGTGGTTTTGACCAGTATCGTCAGGACTGGGTTGACAGTGGGTGCTTAATTGAGGTGAATAGATACAGTATATCCTCCACTTTCATCTTTTTGACTCATTCCTCTTTTCCACTATCTCCCATTTTTACTAACTTTATATAGTTGTATTTTAAGACAAAGAGACAGAGCTGTGACAGAAAGCAGTCTGTCATTAGAAGCAGCACTCCGGCGGTGCAGACAGGAGTGACGGAAGTGTCTATAACTACAACAACATCACCCACATCAGCCTCCTCAGTCACCACCAAACTCACCAGCACACCCTTATTCATAAGAAACCTTCCCACCAGCATTCTCGCTGACGGTATGTATCAGTCTTACTATGTCCTGCAGATCATTGAGAGGATATGTTTTATTTTTTTTCATTATATATCTCACTTTCAAATGAGGTCTCCAAATGAGACCAATTATAAGAGCCCTAAAAACCAAGATAAAATTGACACCTGCACAACATTTTCTCCTTAGTCCATAACCTTTTACAACATGACACTTAATCCATAATGAAAATCTGACCTTTCATCTGCAGAATAAACTTCCAGTTTTTGTATGTTTAACATGAAAAACTTTTGGTTTCTGTGCTGCATGTTACTTTGAAATTAAAATTCTGTCAAATTCTGTTATCATTTACTACTCTACCCTCATGTCGTTCCAAATTTGACTTTCTTTCATCTTTGAAACATATAATAAGATATTTCTAAGAATGTTGGTAACCAATATGTTTTGGTGCTCCAATTTATTTGGGTGAAAAAAATATCAAAATACTTTCTATGATACCTGACCTTCTAAAATACCTTTTATGTTCCACAGAAGAAAGGAAGTGACAAAGGTTTGGAATGACATAAGGGAAAGTAAAATATGACAAAATTTAATTTATCTCATTAAGTCTTTGCCCTAGCAACCACACAGATACCATAGCAACTAGGGGTATATCAAGAAACAAACATGACGGTTCGGTACGTACCTCGGTTTTGACGTCACATTTCGGTATGGTTTCAGTACAGCTAGGGGAAAAATTAAACATAAAATTGCTTTTTTTATTATTAAACTGGTTTTCTGAACAAATTGCTCTTTCTTTAAAGGGGTCATACGATGTTGCTAAAAAGAACATTATTTTGTGTATTTGGTGTAATGAAATGTGTTTATGTGGTTTAAGGTTCATTATAATTAAAATTTTCCAAGGGATAAAAATCTACCTCAGCTTATGCTCTAAATAGTGAGCCCTTTTACATTAGGCTACTTATAAGGTTACCAAACTGAAATTGAATTACTATTTATTTTTAAATATAATTATCAACACTTAACTTGTATGCATTAAAATGTAAAAATATAAAATTTCTATTTGTTGTTGAAATATATTTACACAGTGGCTGTCATAACTGTTTCATAATAGATTTATTTAAACATACTTTAAAGGGGTCATATGATGCTGCTAAAAAGAACATTATTTTGTGTATTTGGTGTAGTGAAATGAATACATGTGGCATGAGATGTTCATTCATGTTTATTTTGGGTTACAACTAGTACTAAAAAGGAAGGGATGATGAAGCTCATTCGCGTGTGAGGCATTTATTCAGCAAACTGTCACGCCACATCAAAGAGCATCAAAATGGCATTTATTGTTTACATTTCCTGAAAGAAATTGACAATTTGAAAGATGAGACTTTGTTTCTTATTAAAAGTAACAATAAAACTGGAAGTTTCCCATGAAGTTTCACTCGTGCAGTGGTTAAAACAATGCTGTATTTGTTCGGTACACGTATACATACCGAACATTTTCAGTAAGGGTCTTTTGTAACGAACCAATAGCAACCTATTAGCAACCATGTAGAAAACCCCGGAACCCACTGACATTGTGGCATTTGGGCAAGTGCAATTCACATATCTTTTTCAGAAAATGTAAAAATCTGGTTATAATTGTTGTTCTTTACAGGCAAGTGTAAATATCCTCTTCTGTTCTCTTTCAGACTCTCAGATGGACATTATAGAGAAGCAAACAGAGGAGCAGATGCAGATTGGTCTGCTCATAGGAATCCTCATCACTATGGTCCTCATGGTGGTTGCTGTGTTGGCCACTATATACATGTACTATCATCCCACCTCCAGCGCCAGTCTCTTCTTCATAGAGGTGAACTTCATAACTAAAGCATATACAGCTAATGGAAGTGAACAAAGATATTTTTAAACATTTTTAGCACATTAATATACACTACCTTTCAAAAGTTCTGAATTTTATTCTTGATATCTAGAGACGACCAACACACTGGCCTGCCATGGAATTTCGACGGGGATCAGGACACCCGTCATATGCAGAGGTAGAGGCCACGGGACAGGATAAAGAAGGATTCATTGTGATGGACCCTAGAGGCAGTTTTCTTGTGGAAGACAGGAGAGAGAGCTTGTTTCTGACGGACCAGAGGGAAGGATTTATTGTGGCTGACCAAAGAGAACGTTTCCTTATCATGGAACGCCGCTAAGGTTGTAATGAAATTAACTAATTTGTAAGGGAATTAATTATTATTATTTCATTCAGGTTTTGAGAGGACTAGGATCTGAAGATTCGAATTCAACCTGATTAGAACTGTAACGGAGGGATGAAAGAAAAAGAACAAACAAACGGAGTAGAGGACAGGATAGTAATTGGCTGCTTCCAATTTTCTTGTAAGAGAAAAGTTTTTTTTTCTTTTGTAAAGGCTAATTAAATTAGAATTTCAGGTTAGAAGTGGTATTTTCTGGTTAGAATTTAATGATGTTATCATTAAAATTGATGAGAGTAATTAAAAATGACTATTAATCAATCAATATCTTGAAGCAGATTCCATCGTTCCTTTGTGTGATGTTCGCAAATGCCTTACAAGGTTTATGAATTAGCTCCTCTGTTTTTGAGAGGAAGTTGCACTGGATGCTGGGATGAATGTGGTATTTGTTTGACCTTGTAACAGCAAGTGCTTAAAATGTGAGTGATCTATTGCACCATTACACCAAAGTGCAATGTAAACAATGTGGACACATAAATGTTTTTTCCAACAGTGAAGCTAGTGGAATTGCAGCGCTCAGGGAAAACCTTCACACCTGAGCTTTTATTTAATTTCTCTCCAGAGGCCCAATTTAAACCACGGTCTGATAATGTTCCTGAGAGTCCCCTTGTTGGTGTCTCTCTTCTAACCAGATGGGTCATTAAAGCCTGTGTATTGCAAACACCTCACAGAACGTCCTGTGTAAAACATGGAAGTTATATTTTTGCTATAAATAATACCTTTATACTCCAAATTCATGTGGATAATGTTAAGGTACAGTTATAGAAGAATCTTAAAAACTTTCATAGTTCTTTAAAATATTCTTGATTCAAATATTTTGCAGTGTATCAGAGAAACACTGAGATACCATTGAAGAGTTGATCTAACACACACACTCTATACAAATAGCACTACCTGAACACACATCCAAGGTAATCTCATGAATTGCAATAGTAACCGTACATGCCTCAGTTAATGTCCTTATAATATCTGTGCTTTGTATTTGTAATATGTAGTTTGATTTGTATATTTGAAATTTTTCAAACAGAAATATAGATCTCAACAACTGAAATGTTATATTGATGATTTCAGTAAACGAATACCATAAATTGTTCAGGTCATGTAATCAGAACAACTCAATTCAACAACAGTAACAACAAAAATCTGTGTACAAAAATGTACTATAATTGAAATATAGTCAAACAAAAAATCCATTAATTTACACAGATCATTTACACTTTATAATAAATCAATGTCTTTACAATAGTTTGTAAATGTCTCTATCAAATCTAACAACATAAATTTATATTATCAGCACATATAAATTTACATTTCTGCCATATGTACATCAATTTGACAGTCACCACTGGTAAGCTACTAAATATATTGTAGAAACTTAATTTTCTGTAAAGCTGATTTGCAACGATTTGTATTGTGAAAAGCGCTATACAAATAAACTTGAATTGAATTGAATATAAATTTCTGCATGATAGGTGACACATGGCTAGAATAATCTACTCTAAATCTGACAGCTAAATCAATCAGAAAGATTAATCCAGGAAATATTTGGTCAGGCATTCGAATTAATCTATATAAGGGATAGTTTACCATCTCTTTCATCTGTGGAATATAAAATAAAGATTTTGAGAAATGCTTTAAATGTCATAATAAAACTGTTTGGTTTTCAACACTGAGTGAGTAAATAATGGCAGAATATTCATGTTTGGGTGAACTATCCCATTACTTCCTTTTACAAGATGTATTTTTAATTAAAAGCTAAATTTAATGATGAGCTTGATTCACAGTAATGGTCAAATATGCCAAAACAAAGCTCCACATCATAGTATAATTTGACATTATTTTAGTTTATTATTTATTATGAAGGGAGAGAGGTAATAAAGCAATAAAGCAAGAGTTATTTGTTTGTGTAAAATGGCATCAATGCATGAGCGATACATCAGTTTATTTGAATCTGTCTGCCAGAGCTTGAGTCCATAAAATCTTATCTATGAGCCATGAGCTTCAAGGCACATGTGATCAGTGGCCTTTTTAAGTTTGTAGTTATTTAACTTTGTGATGATGCTTGCTGATGTATCCCACTATCCTCTTTATGCTTCTTTATCTGAAATTTACAGGAGATTCAAATAAGTTTCAGCAACAGATGTATGTTTTGAACTATTTTAGACCTTTGATTAATGCAATGGAAATAAATGAAGCCCATGTAAAGATGATGGGTATAATTTCTGCAGCATTTTAAAATAAAACAATTACACATTCAGACCTGCCAACCTTTGAAAAATTTTTTGAGTACCAATTTTTTGAGTGATATGGGGTGATACCGGGGGTCATATAGCCTATTCCTACATTACTTGACGCTCCTTGATGGCTAATGTCAAAATCGTAATTGCACAATGTGCAAAATGCTAGACTTCATGTTAAATATTTTTCATAGGTTAGTACTCCGAGTCTGCACTCTGTTTGTGATATTCCTGTTATACAGTATTTTAGAGTAAACAGTAGGAATGCAACAATACAGTTAGCCCAAGGTTCAATAAATACCTCCGTTTTTTAAACACAGTTTTCAGTTTGGTTCTGATGGTTTGGCACAACAGAGTTCTTTTTAGCGATTTTAAATGTTATTTAAAAAAACAAACTCCAGTACATTGTTGTACACTGTAGAAAAACATGGATTATCACATGTCTACCTTAAATTTATTTTGAGAGAAGTATTATTTTTATAGATTGGCCATTATTTAGTGCTATGAACACATGTAATGTCTGTTTCATTCATACTGGATACATATGCATCACCGAAGAAATAGAGCTTACGACTCCAGGAAATACCATACACGTGTTTCCTTGTCTCAGCGCACGACTCACGGACACACAAACAGAGCCAGTTTGGAGAGAAATAAAAAAAAACAAAAAAACACGGAAAACGCTCTTATTGGTTTAACTCATCTTTTTCTGTTGCTTGTTTACTGCGCGTGGACAGGTCACCGGGTTTTTGCGTAGTTTAGAGTGACAAATTGTACCAGCGTACTTTAAGGTCAAAATGCGTACCCGCTACGCAAAATGCGTACAGGTTGGCAGGTCTGCACATTTCACCTATAATTACACAGATAACATTTTTAAAAAAAATATGTCAGTTGTCAGTATTGATTATGAGTAGCTCTTACCTTGTTTTGGAGGTGCTGGCAGTCGCCTCCTCAGTTTCCGAGATGAGCCAATGGTTTGTGTCTAAAACAAAAGTATTACGACAGTTATAGTCATAATAAGTCACATGGGCATGTAGGAATAGGTGTATGAATATTACTAAAAATATGAAGACAACACCTTGGTAAATTGGGTCTGTGGAGTTACATTAAGACCTGCATTTTTCAGAGCAGCAATTCTTGAGGAAATGTCTAAAACCTAGAAAAAAAAGCACAGATCAAAGCAAAAAGATATGAAAATGACTGTTTTTATTGTGAACAGCAAGGCTTTGCAGAGAGACTGTTATATGAAATGTTATTGGCAGTTTTGGGACACCATGGTTAGTATGTTTGCATAATTCTATACAGTATGTGTAGTATACAGTATATACAGGTCTATATAGTATGTACTGTATATAGGAAATCTACATTATTTGAGTGTTATTTTAATATTATTTTTATATTCTTGTAGTGTTTATCAATATTTTAAATTCGTTTTATCCTTATATTTTGAGTTTTCATTTTAATTTTAGTTAAAGTTTAGCAATTTTGTTGTTTGTCATTTATTTAGTTGTTGTTTTTTCTATTTCTATTAAGCTTTAATTTATTTTATTTCAGTTTCAGTTGGTAATTATGGTACTTGTTTTTTTTTTATTTCAGTTCTACTGTCCGTTTAAGTTTTTCTAACACCTATTTCAAATGCCCGTTTGTGTTTTTCATCTATTATTTATATTTCATTTAATTTTAGTTTGTTTTAGTCATTTTGTTAAGTGCTTTTGTCATTTTTATTAGTTTGTTTTTTTAATTTCTCTATGTTCTTTCTTTCTTTTTATTTTAGCTTTTGTTTCAGTTAGTTTCCAAAGCAACATTTCTAATTTCCATTTAATCTTATATTTTTATTTATTTTAGCTTTTTTTTTTTTTTTCCAAATAACGAAAACAATTTAAATAAAGTAAACAAAAACATTTGTTATGTTGCTCATTAATTCAAGTGTAACTGCATGAGAGAGCTATGAGATGCTGCAGCTGAGATTCAGAAAAAGAGAGATAGAGCACAGCGTCCAGGCCGAACACACCTGGAGCTCAGACTGCTGCACCTGGGCTGCTGCAGAGGCCACCTGGTCCTCCAGATGAGCGAGCTCTCCTTCAGTGGTGGATCCACTGATGCAGCGCGCACACTCCTCCAGATCCCGCAGTTCAGCCTCAAGCCCATACACTGTCCCTGCCGCTACATACACCTGCACACAGTGAAATGAATTCGAATAAATTGAGAAGCAGCTCATAAATGCCCAGTGGCGTGAGAAATGCTCATCTCAGGAAGAATCCGTACATTTTCCTCCAGTCTGCCGAGCTGCTCGTCCAGTCTTCTGGCCTCGTCAGGGGGAATGATCGAGACGTCACTGTGGTCTGACTGGCATCGTCCATTTCCCATAGATCCGTGAATCAGATCCTCAGTAGCGTTCAGTACTTTTAGCACCTCTGTGGTGATGCTGCGCAGTGATGCTGCCGAGTACTTCTATTCATGGTAAATACACAGAGGAAGGTACTGTAACGTTACACAATAACATTCACATTCATTTAAATGGAAATGAATGGGGCATGGGGCAAGTCTAGTGTGACCACACCTACATTAGCAAAATTATTAATACTGATTTAATGAATACAGTTAACATTTAAATTAGGGCTGCACGATTAATCGCATGTGATATTTAATGCGCATATTGTCAGAAAGCCGGTTCTGTAATCAGCGGTAAATCTCCATCACCTGCGTGCTTTCACATTGAGCAGCATTAACATGCGCGTTAAATATTGCATGCGATTAATCGTGCAGCCCTAATTTAAATACTTTTTTGGATGGACCATCTGCATGCCACATATTTTATGTAGGCTATACATCTAAAACAGGCTTAGAAACTGAATCAATTATTTATGGATGCCCATTACCAACCACATAAGAAGAAAAATAATGCTTTGTTAAATCTTAATTAGTTCATAAAAAGTCACAATTAAAAGATAAAAAGTCAATTATGAGATTTAAAAAATGTGACCCTGAACCACAAAACCAGTCTTAAGTCGCTTGGGTATA